ATGCTGCACACAGGAGAGAGAGTTACTGCATATACACCAGGGGTTCTGCTGCGACTATACACTAATGCTGCACACAGGAGAGAGAGTTACTGCATATACACCAGGGGTTCTGCTGCGACTATACACTAACGCTGCACACTGGAGAGAGAGTTACTGCATAGACACCAGGGGTTCTGCTGCGACTATACACTAATGCTGCACACAGGAGAGAGAGTTATTGCATATTCACCAGGGGTTCTGCTGCGACTATACACTAATGCTGCACACAGGAGAGAGAGTTACTGCATATACTCCAGGGGTTCTGCTGCGACTATACACTAATGCTGCACACAGGAGAGAGAGTTACTGCATATACACCAGGGGTTCTGCTGTGACTATACACTAATGCTGCACACAGGAGAGAGAGTTACTGCATATACACCAGGGGTTCTGCTGCGACTATACACTAATACTGCACACAGGAGAGAGAGTTACTGCATATACACCAGGGGTTCTGCTGTGACTATACACTAATGCTGCACACATGAGAGAAAGTTACTGCATATACACCAGGGGTTCTGCTGCAACTATACACTAATGCTGCACACAGGAGAGAGAGTTACTGCATACACACCAGGGGTTCTGCTGCGACTATACACTAATGCTGCACACAGGAGAGAGAGTTACTGCATATACACCAGGGGTTCTGCTGTGACTATACACTAATGCTGCACACAGGAGAGAGAGTTACTGCATATACACCAGGGGTTCTGCTGCAACTATACACTAATGCTGCACACAGGAGAGAGAGTTACTGCATACACACCAGGGGTTCTGCTGCGACTATACACTAATGCTGCACACAGGAGAGAGAGTTACTGCATATACACCAGGGGTTCTGCTGCGACTATACACTAATGCTGCACACAGGAGAGAGAGTTACTGCATATACACCAGGGGTTCTGCTGTGACTATACACTAATGCTGCACACAGGAGAGAGAGTTACTGCATATACACCAGGGGTTCTGCTGTGACTATACACTAATGCTGCACACAGGAGAGAGAGTTACTGCATATACACCAGGGGTTCTGCTGTGACTATACACTAATGCTGCACACAGGAGAGAGAGTTACTGCATATACACCAGGGGTTCTGCTGCGACTATACACTAATGCTGCACACAGGAGAGAGAGTTACTGCATATACACCAGGGGTTCTGCTGCGACTATACACTAATGCTGCATACAGGAGAGAGAGTTACTGCATATACACCAGGGGTTCTGCTGCGACTATACACTAATGCTGCACACAGGAGAGAGAGTTACTGCATATACACCAGGGGTTCTGCTGCGACTATACACTAATGCTGCACACAGGAGAGAGAGTTACTGCATATCAGGGCTCTAGAGTGCGACCAATTTGGTCGCAAATGCGACCAAAATTTGTAAGGGTGCGACTAAATTTGTTCCTAGGTCGCACCAGTGCACCTAACCTTCTCGCATGATCGCATCCGTTGCCTCTCAACAAACGAGTCTTTTGTTCTCCTTGCACGCATGGTTGGATCATATCGTGGTCTAAACCAATCAGAGATAGAGATTGGGCTGGTCTTTGCCTCTGATTGGCTGTGGTTCAGATATTCCTGTAGGACTAAAATGCTCCGTGCTGTCTGTGTGATTGAAATAAATTGCGACGTGAGCACCAGAGAATCAGTTACGGCAATCAGCAGCATCAGCTAAATAAACGCAAGAAAACAGACGACGAAGAAACTTTAAAAAATGTAGGCTACTTGAACTAGGTAAAAAATATTGATTTCTCGATTTTAATCGATTCTCATTTTACGAACCGTTGGGCTATGCTGTTTTCAGTTGATGAATGAATGGAACTTTGTAGCGAGCATCCCATCCAATAAATCGCAATAATCTTTGTGCTTTGTTACTATTGATATGAAACAAAGTCTCAGATTTCAAATTAGGTCCATTTTCTTATGAAATTCAAAAACATAAATAGTGTTTTGACGCTGTTGCGTGAGATCGCTCTGGCTCAGCTCAGCTCAAGAGAAGCAGCAGCGCGGAGTGCACATGATCTTCTCTTCCGCCTTAATAATACCAGTTACAGCGCGAAATAAACATGAACGAGCATCTGAAAGTGTGCTAAAAGATAGAGTACAACTTATCGAAATCCGTATCTTTCACATGGAATCGCTCAATCAGTGTTTCAACCGTGGAAAGACGTCAGTAAAACGCTTGTAAACAATGTCATGTAATGTCACATTTACCTCAGAAAAAACATATCCAGTGACCATAAACTCGTTAGCTAGCTAGAAAAAATAACTCTAGGGAAGAGCATTTTGCCAAATATATGCACCATATTGCATATTCATTATAATTTTTTAATGTTT